TAATATATATGAGTATATATGAATATATATGAATATACACACACACATATATATATATATATATATGTGTGTGTGTGTGTGCGTGTGTGTGTTTATGTATGTATGTGTGTGTGTGTATGTGTCTACCTTGTACATTGCGTCTCATATACGAGGTGTAGTGTTGTGTGTTATCATCTCCCGTATGATTATAATTTGCATATAGTCCAACTGCCGGTAAATGCAATATATGATGTGCTGACTCAGCGTCCATCGCCTCAGGTGAGAAGTTTATTTCGTATCGGCAGATTCACATCTCATGATCGAAACCGCAACACGCCCAGGCAATGCATATTGCACTGCACTGGTAGTAATGTTGTAATGTGAAGCTCTCCGTGGTGTAGAGTTGTATAGTAGCAGAGCGTTAAACGTTTTTGTTGATGTAGGGGTAGGAAGAGTCGAGTTTTTCCAAACCAAATGCATCGAATGGATGGGAACAACATAGCAGAATAGAAGGTGAAGTGAAACCTATTGCCCTCTCCCATGACACGCCCTTATCCCATACTTGTCAGACAAAATCTCTGCACACCATAGGCAAAACTTAAGAGCCGGCACACAATCGGTTACATCCCGGCACACAATCGGCTACATCATGCTTCTTAACAGAAGTAGCGCTGGCAATTGGCACAACCTCAGAATACGTGTCTGAGCTGCTCTCGGCACATACGTCAATCAGATGTCCATAACAGACACACATGCGTTCGTGAGTGTATGGTAATCCATAGAAACATCCAGTACGTTGGTGGACTATGTAATGAATACGAATGCGTTGAGTATCTCTACATACACAGTTAGTGTATGTAGGTAGCACACACTCGCAAAATACATTGACCTGGTCATACCCTCAGTACGCAAGTACGGTTCAAATACAATACGAACGCATGTTGTACTTTTCATAGACACATAGCTATTATCCATAGATATACACGCTTACGATCGTCGTTACATGGTGAACACGCACAATGTCGTCTATGAATTTTGTACCACCTGCCCCTTGGTGGCTCAAATATGTATCCTCTATTTAACGAACACTCATGCATCTCCCATTAGGGCTCCGAACGTTTTAACGCATACGACATGGTGCACACAAAGACTTGCCATCTCATGTTCAGTTTGGATTACGTATCGATAATCTGATCAGGAATAAGGTAGCGTATTGCCCCCGAGAGCTGGTGACAGTGTCTTGAAAATGTATCCTAATGCCTGACAAAGCACTTATGGGTAAGAGCAGTTCAGCACCACTTGAATTTGACTGAACGACCAAAACGGATATATGAGCTAATCCTCCATAAACAATTGATTGTTTATGGTGGACGGGGGACAAATAGGTATCTCACGGTTGAATTACAACCCGTATAACGTATACACACCGCGTACTAAATGATACCAACCTTTTTGATTTTTGGAGAGCAGGACAGATAGGTAGCTCAAGGCCGAATTATAACACGTGTAACATACACACACACCACGTACTAAATGTTACCAACCTTTTTAGTCTCTGGATCGCAGAAGGGCAACGAGTAATATGGATAGGGCAATTGTGTCTTTACGGACGTCATTTTAACGGCCTTGAGCGGGATTGTGTCTCCTTCCTTCCACTCCTGCGGGGCTAAACCGGGCACATAGAAGCCATCTGTACCCGGGAGCGTACTCAAAACAAACAGTATACATAGCACCAACTGTGAACCGAGACAGGTATGTGAGAAACAGATGAGAAAAGAAAATGAACAACAGCATGCCAGTATATGAATGAATATGAGAATCAGTGAGCTAAATAATATGCAGAGCGATTCATATCAATATATATATAAATACATATATTTATGTTTGTATATATATATATATATATACATATATAAATATGTGTGTGTGCCTGTGTTGTGCCTGTGTGTGTGTATACATATATAAATGAATATATATATATATATATATATATATATATGTGTGTGTGTGTGTGCGTGTGTATGTGTGTGCGTGTGTGCGTGTGTGTGTTTGCGTGTGTGTATGTATGTGTGTAAGTGTGTGTGTGTGCGTGTGCGAGCGTGCATGTTTATATAAATATATGTTTTCTTTTTCATTTAAACACATGTTAAATACAAATACTAGACACATACGCACATCTAAGTATGACATATAATCTTGCGTTCTCCATACCTCTCATATTCATTCACACCATTTTCTCAAAAAAGATGACGTCCTAACATACACAATCCATAACATGTATAACATATATACCATGCAAAACATGCATAACATACATGGTAGATATGGATTGCCGTGGACTGTACAGTTACAAGTGCGTTGTTGTCGTTGTCTTCCATCGGTGACGTTCCCAGTACAGCATCTGGCATGTGACATAGCTGGTATGACTCGTCGACAACACACGAACTTTTTGTCGCCATCTTGAGTATGGTCTGGGACGATGCGTCGATTCTCTGTTACTGTTATTCTATTCCTTACGGAAGGTTGTATATGCTGTGTAGTGCGGCTTAATATATGGAGGTATATGTGTATACGGGGTAGTCCTGGACAAGCTATCTTCAAGCAGGGGTATATTAAGCACTAGTTTATGAATATATAACTCAATATGATAATATACTTTTTACCGTATTATTACACTTACTATAGCACCACGTGAGTAATTTAGGTGCGATTTGCACCGGAAATTTCTATTGAAAAATCCGGATAGACACCATTTGTCGTGAATTTGTACTATCGGTATATTATACTACACCTCAACCAGTATAATATAGGACCGGCTGTGATTTACGCGCGTGTTCTCTTTGCAGCGTCATATGAAGATAGAGATCAAAATGCCTTTTATTATTTCTTAATTTGTTTGAAAAAATAAATATGTATTGCGTATTGTCAATAAACGTGAAGTAATATATTCATCGTTCGTACGTCCCTTCACACAACCCACATCAAGCACTGCATCCTGTGAGCACATACAGTAGAATTCTCCCGTTCATGGGTATATGCTAGCTTCACATACTAGCACGTTTTGCTACGAATCTAGTATACGATTTTAAGGAGCGGAGATAGATTCAACCCGGGAGCTACAAAGCAGGTAGTGTATTCTAATCGCTTTCTATTGTGTATTGAAG